AAAAAAAAAAAAAGAGGTTTCTGCCTTATGGTGCGTGCACTAGCCAGACGGTGCGAGGGGAAGTCAGAAATAACCCTGGGGGGTGGGGTGGGGGACAGCCGTGCTAAAATCTCTTCTCCACAGGGACCCTGGGCATGCATGCGTAGGTGTCCGGCATGATTTTTAAGCCACCGGGTCCTGAATTCGAACTGCAGTCAGCCACGTGGGCGTCCAGGAAGGTGACAGCTACGCCCCCTGCGGCCCCGGCAGTGCAGATTTTAATCGGTAGCTGATAAGCGTTTATTTTTAAATTTTGCTAGAGAATGTATACCCTTGCTGGAGAGACAGAGACAGAGGGAGGGAAGTGAGGAAGCAGCACCCCGTGGGGAGCGGTCCCACTGATCCCTTCCCCTCCGCTTCTCCTCTCAGGGTTTCTGGGTACACGGGTACAGGCGCTCAGCGTGTTTCTCAAGCTGCGGGGTCTGGGACTCGAACTGTGCAGTCAGCCATGTGACCCAGTCAGCCACCCTAACCACGGCTACTTCTGAGTGTCACCAGTGACTGACAGTCAGTCAGCGATGACGCAGGACCTCTTTAAGACAGAAACCTGACACACTGGCGGCACCTGGCTATAGAGGCACGGGGAGCCGGGTCAGGGCCACCCAAGGGAGACAGGGGCTTCGCTGAGTTCCCAGACCTGGAGGACATAGCCCCGTGGCACCTCTCACTGGGGAGCTACGGGGGGAGAGCACCCCCGCTGGGCCCGGGCCTTGAACCACGAACTCCGCGTGGGTGTTATCCGTCTTAGCCACCACACACTGGCTAGCCTGAGACCTCTGACTTGAACGGAGAGCTGGAAGAGTGGCCGAGGGGCCCATGTTCATGTAAGGCTGTAGGGCGCCAGGCTCGGCTCGGCTCGCACCGTGGGGTGTGCCGAGGCAGCAGGCGGGCCAGCAGGAGCTGTTCCAGCCCCGTCCCCCTCTAAACTCCCCAGGTCACCCTTCCATGCTGTCGGCTGTACACGCTCCAGGAATCTCCCTAAGAACCGTGAGACAGGGCCACCTTCTCCCCTCTGCACAGGACCCTGGACGGACAGCCCCTTGCTGGCCTCTGGCTGCCACCAGGTCACAGTGGGGAGGGCGAGGCCGCTAGGGCAACGGCTGCGCTAACCCTGGCTCCGGCCCGGGGCCTTGGGGTGGCAGCATTTCCAAGCGCGGCCCCCAGGCTGTGCTCTGAAGCACCTGCAGGCTCCCAGCCTGGAGAGAAGCAGCCGCCTGTGCTTTGTGGGGTCTCAGGGAGGCGAGGGGCAGTGTCACCCCACAGGACAGCCTAGGCAGGCCTGGAAACCAGGCCGACAAAACACGTGCATCATGTCAAGCCACAGGGCTGCGTGCTTCCGCACAGCCACCCCCAGGGCCCACCGTGTGCAGTGGAGGGCTGGAGAAGCCTGCCGGAGGCTCAAGGGAGGCCAGCCTCGAGCTGGGCCCTGGTCTGGAACTCACATGAGCACAGGGAACACTTATCTTCCAGGGCCATCCCTCGCTTGGGGCCACAGGGGAGCCTCTCCAGGGGACAGAGGTCGGCTGGGCCACCGTGAACATCTGCAGCAAACAAACCAGAGGGGCCAACAGCAGCCCACACCCTGCCACAGCACACCAGGAAGCAGGAGGCGAGGACATGGCTGGTTCGAGCCCCACGCACTGGAAACTCCAGCTGGGTGCTGGCCACATCCAAGGTCAAAGGTGAAGACGGGTGACGGGAAGGCTCTTTACATACAGACGTGTCACACGTCTAATGTGCAGCATCTGGGTTTTCCGGCCGAGTCTGCTCGTGCTCAGCTCGGACAGGCCCGGAGCACATTCCGCAGCTGCCCATCCCTCTCCTCCCGGGACACCGGGCGTGGCGCACGCTCTGACAACCTACTCAGCAAGTCACCGCCTCCCCCACTCGGCCCTCTCCGTAGCCGCTGCTAGAAGTGCCACAGCTGTTGATGGGAGGAGGCAGGGGAGGAGCACCTCATGCAGGTGACCGCGACAGGATGTGGCACCACTTTTTCTCTGCCTGCACTTCAACCTGGTGCTCCCCAGAACTCAGGAGGCCTGGTGCACGTGGGGTCAGTAAAGGGGACAGGAGGCTGCGGGGGCTCGGCCCACATCCTGACAGTGCAGCCCCAGGGCCGAGCTGCGACAGACACCTTTGAGGGAGGGTGGCACCTGCGACTTACAGACCCTCCTGAATGGCAGAGCCCCAGAGCAGACTTGCGGACAAGGGTTACTGTCACTTGCAGGTGATCAGCAGCACAGGGCCTGTCTGTGCTGTTTCAAGGGGCGGCGGGGTGGTGCTCTGGCTTTCTAAGGGCTCACTGCTGAGAGCTGGGCACTAACCCTCTTCTGACCCTTCCAAGGCTCCCGGCATGGCCTGTGGCTCTCTGTGTCAGTCCTCTGCCCTCCACCATGATGCTCTACAACAAAGAGAGAGCTGTCACTTTAAATGTAGGCCACTTAGGCAGGAGAGAAAGCACCGCAGAAGAGGGTGTGAGGCTCAAGGGAGGAGGAGGGTCTGCCCTAAGAACAGACGTGAGCGCGGAGCACTGGTCTTTGCCATGGCCAAGCGGCATGTCCATTGGGGCCCCTATATTCTCCGTCCAGGGAGAGGACTCGGGGTGCACACGGTACCCACACAGTGTCCACACATGGTCTTCCCTGTGGCAGGGCACCTTTCTTTCCTGGAGCCAAGGGGTCACAAGGCATTAGGTACGCGTGGCCAATCATGGTTCGAATCCCAACGCTAGCACCTGGAAGACCAGACTAGGCGTCTCTGCCCCAAATCCTGACAGACGCACAAGTGGAGGAAAAAGGGTCTCAGCACTGCTGCGTCTCACGGGGCTTTCTCTCTGGCAAGACCTGCACCCTCTCACAAAAAATACAAAGTTAAGAAAAGACTGATCCCCACGACGTAAGAAGACCCACCTCAGCAGCCTTGCAGAGGGAACTCTAATGTATCTAAACCACGTCCATGTGCGTTACCCTGAATGTGCTATCATTTTTCTTTGTTTTTAAATTTTTGCTATAGGACATGTGCACCTGCCATAGACAGAGAGGGAGGGAAGTCTGGGTAAACTCAGGCCTGTGGTCGTTTCAGAACCCGAGGAGAGTACAAAGGCCATTCGATGGGAAAAACGATCTCGCTGAATGGTGCTGGGCAAACTGGATATCCATGCCACGGGGACAAGACTGAGCCCTAACCGCATGCCATACCCCACGCTGATTTGAGACGGACCGAGGCCCAAGTGCGAGCAGTGACACAGTGACACTCCGAGGGAGAACTTGAGGGCGGGTCACGGTACCCGAGCTGAGCCACTGAGAGCACACATGGCAAAGCTGCCGAGACCGCCGCGTGGGGCTTCACGGGACATGCGGGGAAGGCGGCGAGGCAGCACAGAGGGGCATGCACCGCCAGCAGGAGACGCGCCATGCAGTCCCACTCGGGACACGCTCGACACGGGTCCTCTGGGACACGATGTCAGAGCACACGAGCTGCTCAGGGGGAGGTGGAGACGCTGGGCCCTCGGCCGGCCGGTGGGAACGTGTGATGGCAGCCACCTTGCCCGGCTGGCGCTCCTCAGATGTTACACGGGGACCCCAGGACCCGGCAGCCACGCCCAGGTGAATGCTAAGACACGTGGAGACCAAAGTCCAAGAGAACAGGTGTTCACATTCACCACAGCCGCGGGTGGGGACAACTGGAGTCCACGACTGGACACGTGGGCCAGCACGGCACTGCACACCGCTCGCCTCCGAGCTGGCGCAGTGCACGGACGGCCTCGAGGCCGTTATTCCGAGTGAGGGCAGCAGACACAGAAGGCCACACGGCATGTGCTCCCGTCTGGGGGACACCAAGGGCGATGATGACGGGTGGCCGTGGCTCAGTCCGACCTCACAACGGCACGGACACACGGCTGCGCCAGGTCCTGAGATGCTGCAGCGCACGCTGTCAGGGTAAATCAGCCCACGGGTGGTTGCCCAAGGGCCCAGGCCAGGCCTACCTAGGTGGCTGCGGGGAGCGCGGCTTGGGCTTCTCCTTCTCCTTGTCCCGCTCCTTGTCGCGCTCGCGGTCCCGGTGCTGGCGGTCCTTCTCGTCACGCTTGGCGCGCTCTCGCTCCCACTCCTCCTTCCGGCGCTGCCGCTCCTTGTCACGCTCCCGTTCGCGCTCCCGTTCGCGCTCCCGCTGCCGCCGCTCCCCCCCCCCGCCCCCCCGCTCCCGGTCCCGCTCGCGCTCTCGCTCACGCTCGCGCTGCCGGTTCTCACGCTCGCGCTCGCGCTCCCGCTCCTTGGGTGAAAAGCCAGACACAGGTGTGGGAGTGAGTCCTGGTTCGCGGGGGAAGGCCGCCGCCCAGCACTCACACCAGGGCGCGGAGCCCTCTGCAGCACAGCCAGGTGGAGCGCCGCCAGGACCCCTGGGCAGTGAGCCCAGCCGCTGCAGGGCAGGTCCGGCAGCGCAGCACCTGCAGGCGGCCCATCTCTTATGCAGGCAGCACTGCTCTCGGCCCTGAGTCCTCCCTCCGCTCTGACATGTGGAATCAAAGCGGAACAGAGCCCACTGCAGCCCACCCGCCAGGCTCTGAGCTTCAGGTGCCTCTTGCTGGCTGCCTTGGCCAGGGGAGGCACCGGCACCCCACAGACCAGCTGTGCCCAGCAGCCGCTCTGCAGAGGCTCTGGGGCAGCTGGCCACCAGGGGCCACCGCTCCTGGCCCCCTCCTTTGGCCCTGAGTGCATGTGGTTCCTGCTGGGTTGCCCCAACTGGGCTCGTCCAGGGACGGCTCGGGTTCGGCACACGCACTGTCACATGGAGCACGTGACTGGCGGCATGGAAATGCAGCAAGAGCAGCCTTATGCCAGGTGGCTCCCAGGGAGAACAGCCCGCGGCTCTAACGGCTCTCGTCAAGGGCCTGGAGCAACACCCTCGAGGCCACGCTGTGCTCCCTCGGAAGCTCCTGTCCGACTTTAAAAATTGCAGCAAGGGCAGTTTCCAGGGAAGTCCCTGATCCAGTGCCCACAGCGTTGGCCAGAGGATCTGAACAGCCATGTGGCTGCACACGCATACACTGCCCTGCCACGGAGTCCCAGGCATACAGGCCGTGCAGGGCCGAGGCCCCCTGCGCCGCCATACTCACTCGGTAACTGTGGTAGGGCTCGGCCTCCGTGTACTGCACTCGGAAGTTCTCGTACTGCCCCCCGCGCCAGAGGCGCTCCATCTCGTAGTCGTAGTACGGGTCCGCGTAGGGCTCCAGGCTGGAAGAGCAGGCGACGAGGGCCACGTGAGACGCCGACGGCAGAGGTCAGCCCTGCATTAGAGCGCTCAGCAGGACGTGGCCTGAAGGAAGCCAGGGCATCTGGCCACGGCGGATCAGACATCTTGGACAAAGTCCAGTCCCCGTTCCTGATGACACTCAAGCAAACAGGAACTGAAGCTTTAAGATGGCAATACATGTACGCACTCATGACCTAGGGCCAGCACTCACTAACGAGCAGGGTGTGGGGCAGCCCAGACGGGGATGAGAGCCCTTCTCCACGACACCGGCCAGCACAAGCAGGCTCTGCCAGTGCGACTGGGGAGAGGCCACGCACGCAGGCGGGAGCGGCGGGGGGCCGCCATCCTGACGTGCACACTGTGTGGGCACAGTCCTGTCCTACGGAGACAGGACGACAATGCCAGCTCTCCTTTCAGAGGTCTCTGCCATTGGGCACGTGAGTTCACTGGAGAGACACACCGAGACAATGAGAGGGAAAGCGAGAAATCACCCCCGGGAGACGTCCACACCACAATCCCCTCTCTATTCCCTTCCTGGGATCTTGAGCACACACGCACGGGCGCCCGGCAACATAATCACTGCGCCATCTGCTGGCCCCGATGAAGCCAATTCCAACAAACAAAAAACATCAGTACACACTAAGGACGAAAACATTACCTGCAGAACCCACATCTCTTATACACGGGTCACCACCTGGGAGACGGGTAAAGAAAACCGTGTTTGCAAAAGAAAAGAGAAGAAAAATTCTTGGAAAAAATACACTTTGTCAGAAAGGTACAAAACCTTTTGCTGAGAAATTAAGACATGAGATGATGGGCCAGCAGGTGGTGTAGGGCTAAGGTGCTGGACTCCCACAAGGTTGACTGCGGTTGGAGTCCTGGACCCAGAGGCCTGAAAATCATGTAGGGTGCACGTGCATGCATGCTCCAAATCCCAAGATGAGAAGGGACTGCAATGTGGTCATCCCCCTGGGAAACAACTTCCCACCTCCCCTGACTTTCTCTCTGGCAAATGCACACGCCGTGGTAAAAACCTTTTTAAACAAAGGAGGGAAATGAGATGACATGCCCGGGCCCTTGACTGAGTCAGTTCTTTCTACAGAGAACTGAAGCCCCCAACTCCCTGTGAGGCACCACAAGCTTCTGTGGGATCCAGGCAGGCCAATTCCCAGGGCTCCAGTGAACACACGAGCCCAGCCTGGAGGCCCTGGGGCCCCATTGGTGGCACAGCGCAGTGGACTAGACTGGAGCCAGAAACCACACACTGACTGTGGTCTGCGCCCTCTGCCTGGGAGGCCTGAAGACATACCAGGAGGTGTGTGAGTGCCCAGGATGCCGGAGATCTGGGTCACCGAGTCCCGTGGAGGCGCTTCTCTGCCTCACACACACTTGATCGTGAATTTTAAAAAAGGCAGAGAGAGAACCTGGCCGTGAAAACATGGTGTCGGGGACAGCAAGCACAGCATGCCTCTGTAATGGAGCAGGCGGCGCGGGGGCATGTGGGGAAGTGCCCAGAGCGCAGACCCACACAGCTGGCAAGTGACGGAGCCACCGTGGCTTAGGACGGAGCCTGAGGAGCTGGAGGGCCAGGTCACGGCACGGGGAGGGCCTGTCGTGCATTCTCTTGCACACACACGTGCTCTATCATTTGAGTGTGCAGAGGCAGCCGGGTCCTGACAATGCTCAGGGCCCAAGCAGCTGACGGAGGCAAGCCGAGTCCCTTTCCCAGCGTCGGGGGCAGAGGTGGCGCGGCGCTCCACAGTGCTCTGTCACTGCTCTGGAAGATGGTGCTATGCGGGACCCGGGCTGCCTACGCAGCTCTGCTGACCACGCTCCTAGATAGCACCGGGCAGGCTGGCCAGTGTCCCTGGCAGCCGGGGTAGACATGTGCTAACACCCTGTAGCCATGAGGGCCCGTGAGTCAGATGGCATGGGAAGAACGCAGAGGTGCCAGTGAGACTTCCCAAGCTGGATTTGGGGGTATCTGTCTAAAAAAGCATTCATTTCACTCTGGGATATTCTGGTAGGTGAGCTCGAATTCAAGAAGACGTGGAAGAAGAACAATTTCCTCGTCCTCTACGCATACCCCAGCTTATTCCCTCATGCATTAGTCGGCGTGGCCATGGGCTCAGCAATGGAGCTCACGGATGGTCCTGGCCCACGTCCTGAGGCCTCCCGGGGCCCTCGGGCGTGTACACTCATCTGTGATCAGGGATGGTTTGGCTTGGGATGGATCAGGTGGTACAGACCTTGCAGACGGTGCCCCCAAGTCTGGAAAAAAAACTTAAAAAGAAGTCCCCTTGGGACCAGCAGATGGTGTAATGGTTATATTGCTGGACTCCCACGTAGTCGACCATGGTTTGAGTCCCGGATATGGAGGCTTAAACCTCACGTCGGCACGTGTGCGTGCATGCCCAGGATACCAGGAGAGAATGGAGAAGGGATTGCGGTGTGGCCATCCACCCTGGAAGGTGATTTCTTGCTTTCTGTCTCTCCTACGAGCGCATGCACCCTATAGCAAAAATCTCTCTCAAACAAAAAAAAGTGCACTTGAGCCCCAGGTGCCACCTCCCCTGGGCTCATGGTACAGAACCATGTTCCCACCTAGCATGCTGGGAGGCTCGGGCCAAGCAGTGCTTCTGCTGCAAAACAGCACCAGGGGGCAAGATCGAGTCGCTGGGCTGGGCTGTGGCCTTGTCACAGACTGCGGTCCCCGGTGCGTCTTGGGCCTGGGACGCCTGGAGGCTGCAGCACAGGGAAGGCCCGACAGTGCGTGGCTCCCACACAGCACCATTCGTTCACACCCGCCCTCAGGTGCTGTGGGCTGGCACAGCCGATGAGCAGCCGCGGTGAGGTGTGGTCTCTGCCTCTCACCACCTCGGCTCCCGAGCCTGGCTGCAGGCGCAGTGAGAGCGAGGCCATGCTGAGAAGTGACTCCCTCTGAACTGGGTCCCACTCTCTCCTGCCACTAGCAACACACGGGAGGGCTCCCTCAGGCCTAGC